CTCGGTGACTGCGTGGGGGATTCCATTCTGGGCGCCAACGAAGTGATCGACTCGCTCGGATAGCGCTAGGGCGTCCTAATCCCTGCCAACGCCGAATCTTGCATATTCCCAAACGCTAGAGATGCGATGGCTCTCGACGGCTCTGACTGGTTCGCCGTAGCTCAGGGCAGTTCTGAGTGGCTGCCCAGTACGATGGACGGCTCGCACTCGATCTGCCAACGCTTGTTGTTCCTCATCTCCGGCTGCGAGCCGCCTCCGCACACCGTGGCTTGCAGTTGATCGACACCAGTAATCTACGCTTCAAGACTCCGATGACTACGTGACGCCCTGATTGCTTTTTCTTGCCAACCACCGAATGCAACATTGTCAAGGGCTGCCTTTCCCCCTTGAGACTGTATTGATTCTACGAGGCCGAGACTGACATCTTGCCCAGACACCGAGATATTACACCTCACCAACCCATCACATCATCAACTATCTGCCGATGCATCCTGCGCTGCCCTTATGCCTTCAATGCGGAGCACATTGTGGGCTCGGCATCAGCATTACCAGCATCAGCACTATCATCATGGCGTGAGCCTTCGCATTATCTATCTTACCTCCGAGCAAGGCGTAAGCGAAGGGAGAGAGCGAGAGAGAGAGCCGCGCCCTAGCGGCAACGCTTTTGCCTAGAATGCTTCCAAACCGCGGTGCCAACTGCCCATCTTGCCAAATTTAGGCGACGGATAGTATGATGTTCCCTTTTTGTGCCTCGCTCCAAGGTTTTAGCTGCAAGCTACTGTTCTGTCCGGCAACCTGGCGCCTTGTCTGTGCCGAGACCGGATGAGCCCCGACCTCCGGCACCCACCGCAGTAGCTCTACCTGAGGGACGGTGCCTGGGCATATGGTTCAGATGCCCAGTGGGCAAGACCAAGTGGGACGAGGATGATCCCTTTGGAGGCCGAAGAGATCCTTGGGATAGGTGGCATGGCTTGCATGGGTGTGTCCTCTTCGCCGACCAGAGATATCGACTCGGCCAATCTTTTGACCCCTGTGTTTTGGACTTCCCGCGGCTGCAACGCGCATCCTACCATCAACTCATATTCTAACCATCTCCTTGGGCCCTAATGGCAAGAGGAGCCAAGGTCAAACCCTGCTGAGGTCTGGGAGCTATGATGGCCTTCCCACACGCCCTGCAAGGACGGGCATCGGCCTTTGCTAGCATTCCGTGAGCTCCCAAGCCTAGAAAGCTCTCGGGGCTTGTACCTCTGGAGCTCCCCGTCTCTGGAGGCGAACTCTGCGTGTCTGATGTTTGCCTGTGATGGAGCTCAGTCCCCGACGTCAGAACTCAACGAACCATATGTCCGGGAACAAGCCAAGCAAGCACAACGGCCGATATGCAAGCGCAACAAGTCATCGTTGTGCAAACCTTGGGAAGGATTATCTCCTCACCACGGACCAAGACTCTGGGCTGCCCTCCATCCTCACCGCATGTCGTTGCTTCCAAGGCGGAATAGTGGCGTCCAACGAACCGCTGGTCCTGGCCTGACCTGACCTGGTCTGACCTGATTGACATGTTGCCGCCGCCGTCGCCGCCCACCCGCCGCCGCCGCCAACGCAGCTGTGCGCCGATCTTTGTAATTCGTAATGGGGGTGGACTACCACACTACCCTCGCCCTTGGCGCTTGGGGACAATCCGGCGTGTGTGGATGTCCACACGCGGGTCAATCATGTTTCCAGACAAAGGGACCGTTGAGCGTTCTCCGTCGGCCCGCTTGGGCTCCAAACGACCAGACGGCTTGAACGTGGCCCTGACTCTTCTTATTAACAGCCCAGAGACACACCGTCCGGCAGACCCGTCATCGTGGTTCTTCTCTTTTCCTGTTCTTCCTGCAATAGCGGGAGCCCTTCCTCACCCATTCCTTTCATGCCTCTTCGACCTACCCTGGCTTTCTTGTTAAGGTCGTTTACTCTTTCCTTTCTTCATACCAAGCATAGACCGACGAAACTTCCACCATCAACTTCCTCTTATTGTGTAATTCTTCTTCGAGGCCAGCAAACATGGCCATAGGCGTGGCACTTCTCGCCTTTATTGTCTTCTGCGCATGGCGCCTATACTCCGCCATCAAGCTGAAGAAGAGGCTTCCTGAGGGAGCTAAGCCCCTTCCTGGGCCCAAGGGTAGGCTGCCTCATGGGTGATGATGATGACTATGATGCTCACTTTGGACAGGTCTTCCTTGGATTGGTCGTGTACACGATGTGCCGGCGGAGGCAACATGGCTCAAGTTCTACGAGTGGGCGAAGGAGTACGGCCCTATTTATGGGCAGGAGATGTTCGGATCCTACCACGTCTGGATCTCTTCGGAGCAGATCGCTCATGACCTTCTCGGCCGCCGCAATGTCATCTACTCAGACAGGCCCATGATCCCCAACCTGCCTGACAACAGGACAAGTGGCGACTACCTTGCCCTGCTTGGCCGCACTGGTAGGCAATACTCCTCAGCTTTCGCAAGTCAGTCACTAATGGTAGCATGCAGACACATGGAAGCGTCAGCGCAGACTCTGCCATCATCTCATGAACCAGAGCGACAAGGAAGAGCTCCACGCTTACCCGACCCGTGAGCGCGATCGCTTCTTGTGGCTTCTCTCCCAGAACCCGAGCGATTATCGCGAGTACGTCGAGCAGTTCACCAGCCGTACCGTAAGCCGTCTGTCATGGGGCACCGCCCACCCGGCCCGCATCCTCCGCAAGACGACCTTCGGCCTGCTGGAGACCATCTCCCCATCCGGTGCCCTCCCTAACGTTATCTCATTCCTGATGCACGTTCCGGATGTCTTGTCGCCATGGAAGAAGAAGGAGCGCGCCCGTCACGAGCTCGAGTCCCGGCAGTTCAAGAGCAATGTCGACTTCGTCGTCGACCAGGTCGAGAAGGGTACCGCGCAGCCCAGCTTCATCAGCACATTCGTTAACCAGGGTCTCGGCGATGAGAAGGAGAAGGGCAAGTGGGGCGATCTGAAGGAGGCTACCAATGTCGTTGGTCTCATGGCCATCGCCGGCGCCCTCACTATTGGCAGCCCTATCCAGAGCTTCCTCCTCGCCATGTTACATTACCCCGAATGGCAGGCTAGACTGCAACGCGAGATCGACGAGGTTTGTGAGGGCAGGTGTCCTCAATGGAGCGACCGCGAAAAGCTTCCCATGCTGAGAGCCGTGGTGAAGGAGGTCATCCGGTGGAGACCCCCTGTTCCTACTGGTATGTGCAGCGATCCTTCATAGCAAGGCTGATTTTAGGTTCGTGTGACTGACGGGCTGTTACAGGCATCCCCCACGCTGTCGAAAAGGATGACGTCTACAATGGTTTCTTCATCCCTGCCGGTGCCACGATTCACGCTCTGGAATGGTAAGTTCCCACAAAACCAAAGACATTCCCCGTCGGACCCCCGAACTAACGAGACATTCTTAACCAAGGGGCATCACTCGCGATGAGTCAATGTACCCCGACCCCGAGACATTCAACCCCGACCGCTGGCTGCAACCGTCGTACCCCACCTTCAAGGAGCCTCTCACCCGCTTTCCCAACCTCGACGGCTTCAGCCAGTTCGGCTTCGGCCGCCGGACGTGCCAGGGCGTGCCTATTGTCGACCAGGACCTCTTCCTCATCATGGGTGGCATGGCGTGGGCGCTCAACATCACCAAGAAGCGCAACGCGGACGGCAGCGAGGTGCCCGTGCACTGGAACGACTACACGCCGCTGCTGATCGCCAAGCCGGCCTTCTTCGAATTCGACGCCGCCGTGCGCACGCCCGAGAAGGCAGACATGATGAAGGCCATGTTCGACGCCGCCAAGGAGGAGGAGGAGCACGAGGAGAAGATGATGAAGGCGGGCATGCCCGACATTGGCGACGTGCCGGAGAGGAAGCCGTCGCAGCAGCAGGAGACCGGCGGTGCTGCGAGGCGGGCGTCGGTGTTCTTCAATCTGAGGCAGCGCAAGGAGGAGGGCGAGAGGGAGAAGGTGTACCGCGAGCACGAGCGGGATATCCCCGGATGTCCCGGCCGCTGGGCGACGGAGAGCGATGTGGAGTCATCGAATGAGAAGGGGTATGTTGACGATGACAGCTGTTCCGGGCGGTCATCGCCGACGATGCTGCCGTAGTTCTGGGGATTGTTGTGGGGTAGGCGAGTATGGAGTGACGGAGCCAAATTTGGTTTGATATCAGGATTCCCTTTGTTGTTTTTCTTAAGCCCATCTTTGGGAAAAAGATGCCGACGCTACTGGAGGAGCTGGGGTAATCTGGGGTCTAGATTGTGACATGGATATACCTTCTACGATGTATGAATATAGAACAAGAATCTTTCAACCAAAAGATCAATTATCATTAACTGCAATCCCCTTTCTGCGTGAATTTGGCGATGAAGCTTCTGTGGACTGGATACCAGATCTTGCCATGTTATTCTTGGCACATTGCGGCAGCCCCAGAATACACCCTGCTCAACTACTGAGCTGCGCGGACTTGCGGCGGCAGGCGTGGGGGTTGTGCAAGTCCATCAGAGCGACCAGCCCTCTCTGCGCGCTGCTTTTGATGGCAACTCACGTTGTAAACACATGGTCTTATCTTCAAGCCGAGTGTGTAGCCATGTTCACTTAATGATTAAAGCGCACATGCCAGCTTCGCCATGACAAGTTTCATTGACTACGCATAGGGCGGGATGCACACCGTCGACAAATCGTGCGCCTTCAAAGAGGCGGACGCTCTCGGGCTCGCTCGGGTAAGTGCAAAGTAACCTAGAATCATAGCCCTCTTCATTGCGACATAAGCTCAAGTTATTTACTCCAAGTGATGCTTCAAAATTTGCAGCGCATGCCCTGCTAACGAACTATCTGGGCTTAGGGACTGAAGAAAGCTCAAGCATGTGTTAACCATGGCGCTATGTTCTGATGGGGTACATCCACAGAGCGCCTCGAATTCGGAGAGAATATTTGCAGCCGCAAATACAGGAAGAATGCGAGACCTAATTAATTTCAACTTTGGTCAGTAATGCTTCGAACATTCACCCGTATGACGCTAGTGTTTGCTCACCAGATGAAATGTCGAGGCGGATCTGAATCCATTTCTATAATTATGTCGTGTATTTCATGAGCAGCGTCGACGCAGCGTTTGATAGCTGTTGTGTGCTGTCCTCTGTCCCCTGCCATGTCCTCTTGAATCGTGCGGTTTATAACTATACGGTAGTAGTTGCACAGTAGCCTGATGCTGTATCGCTGCCACCTCACCCATTCCTCTTCACTGTCGCCAGCAACATCAAACGTCGCGGAGCCTCTGGATGATCGAAGATGGGCGGGTAATTGAGTGATGACGGCAGTGAGCTGATCATTGGTCTCGGTGACGATTGTTGAAATCCCAGGGCTATCCGAGACGTTTAAAAGGCGGGCTTGAAAGTGACGAAGAACCGAAGCAAGCTTGCAGAGCGCTATCAAGTGCTGTACCGGACGGAGAGCGGGGGTGAATCCCTCGAGATTGACGCCGAGCGAAACCTCGACGTCGTCAAGCTCCAACGGTTGATCGACCGTGAATTCTGATTCATCGATGCAGCTGTGTCCGAGCGGCAAGTTCAACCAGTCGTTTGCTATGAGTGACCAAAACAAGCGGCTTTGATATTGGCTTTCGAGCGACATCCCTCCGTCTATGTTCTGATCAAGACCGACACTGTGGCAAATGCCGGCGGCACAAGACCACAAAATGTAGTACATGTTAAGCTCGCCGAAGTGAACGTAGGAGCCGCCCAAGAGTACGATGGTTCGGACGTTGATCAGCCTGGGATCCCTGATGAAGTCTGCGGCGTGAAGGAAGAAGACGGATGCATCGAACCAGTTGGCTCGGTATTGTTCCAGCTGATCTGAACGGTGGCGCTATTAGAAGATGATTTTCACGGCAAATGAGGCCTAGAAGAAGGAATCCCCACCCTTAGACACCCCCATCGACTCGGCTTCGGGCAGAGTGAGGAAAAGCACTGAAACCTGTGGCCGAATTAGCGATACTACCCCTGAAGCTGCCTCGCAGACTAGACCTGCCGTTAGGTACGCGAAGTACAGTCCTAGCCATGCTGGATCACTGTTTTTGTTGAAGCCTGCCTCACCAAGTTCCGAAAAAAACTTGTCGTGGACTTTTTGGAGTTCCGCAGGGTTCAAGGAGCAGTTGACCCAGGGAACCCAGTTCGCGCCGTGGTTCAGAATGCATTGGCTAAGCTGCTTTGAGGGCAGAACAACGTCCTCATTCCTTTTGACTGTCAACTCCCGTGAGTGGCTCCGAAGACGATTGTAGAGTGAGTTCTCGGGGTCATCGATCTTGTGCAGCCGAATGCACCTCCCCGGACGCGCCGGCCTCTGTCTAGGATCTGCCTTCAAAGAGGTCAACTCCTCTCGGAGAGCGCGATTTTCATCAAGCAGTTGGGCATAGGTTGGCTGAGCATCATCCGCCGACGGCGGGCGGCCTTTCACTCGAACAAGCTCAGCAGCGCAGGATTCTGCCTGGCCCCGGACCCGGCAATTGCGGCAGGACAGGTTCTTGTCACATTTCACCTTGCGCCTCGCGCAGAAAGTGCAAGATTTCACGGTGCGCTGTGACGAGCGTAACTCCGATGTCACGGTAACAGCCTTGCTTTTGGTGTAATTGCAGAGGTGAATCGTGGAGTGAACTAGTGTGGTCTGAAAGCACAAATGTCCGATGGCTCAACCTTATTGGCGCTAAACTCGCCCAAAACTCGGCCGTGAAAGGGTCGAACCCTACGTCATTTCGGACTGTTACGGAATGAGCCTGGACCTCAATGGCAACAGTTGTAATAGTGAGGTGCCCTACAGGGATTCCTCTGACTCAAGAATGATGGTGTTAAATAAGTGGAGTTGTGATGTCTCTCATTTCCCCATCAACTCGCCCGAGGTCGGCCGTGTTTGTTAGCCATCACTGTCTTCATCATAGAAATGGCTTCGTACAAAAGTTCAAACACATCCGAGCAGCATGTTTTGTCTTTTGCACTTAAATAGACGTCTACTCTTCTGCCGTTGAGTTTAATGTTTCCCGGAATGGAAAGCTCTCCAGAGAGCTTTCACCATTCGAGTTCCTTACACCGGGCTGATTTGCCCTCGGTCCATATTTTATTCCTTTGGCTTCACCCACGCACCAATATCTTATGTCTGATTCAAAAATGTCCTTACAACTGCGATATTCTCCAATAGGCGTCCTCCTCAGGGCATTTTCAAATCGCAGACTCCTTCTCTATCCCGAAGAGCAGCCCGACTTCAAGTTGGATTTGTCCCGTTACGGGGGGCTCAGCAGCAGTTGTGATACGGCGACTTCTACGATCAACACCGTTCAACCAAACTCAATCGCTGATAAGTCTCCCGGCAGCCATGACGACTTTTCCCCTGGCCATCGCAATACGACCGTGTGCTGGTATGCACCTGACGACCCTGAGAATCCGAGAAACTGGACGAATCGCAGTCGAGTCTTGATCACTCTCATCATCTGCCTATACACGTTCGCTATATACACATCTTCGGCCATATACATTTCAGCTATCGAGGATGTTATTGTTGAGTTTGACGTTACACACGTCGAGGCTTCATTAGGACTAGCTCTATTCGTCCTAGGCTATGGCGTTGGGCCTCTCCTATTTCCCCCCCTTTCTGAAATTCCTCGCATCGGTCGCAGTCCCATATACACGTTAACGATGGCGCTCTACGTCATTGTGTCTGTTCCAACTGCGCTTACAAAAAGCTGGGCCGGCTTCTTGACTTGCCGCTTCTTTCAAGGCTTCTTTGGATCTCCTTGTCTTGCCTCAGGCGCCGCCACGCTGGACGACATCTACGGACCGAAGGGTTTACCATTCGCTCTCACGACCTGGACCAGTGCTAGCTTTGTAGCCCCTGCGATCGGGCCTTTGCTATCCGGATTTGCGGTGCCGATAATGGGCTGGCGCTGGTCCATGTGGGAGATCCTCTTGTTGTCAGGCCCAACACTACTCCCGATGCTTTTGCTGCCAGAAACCTCAGGGCCAACCATCATTCATTACAGAGCACAAAGACTGCGCCTCCTGACTGGACGGAGTGATCTGCAAAGTCTTGAGGAGCTTGACTCTCGAAAACTGACAGCATCTCATATTCTCAAAGAGGCTCTCATTAAGCCGCTTGAGATCACCGTCAAAGACCCGGCTGTGCTTTTCGTCCAACTTTATACAGCCATCAATTACGGCATTTACTATTCATTCTTTGAAGTTTTCCCTATCGTCTATACAACCTTATACAGCATGACAACGGGCGAGGTTAGTATTGTCTTCCTGTGCATTTTGGTTGCGTGCATTCTCGGAGCCGGATTATACTTCATTTTTTTTTGAAAGTTTACATGATCCCGAGAATGCGCCTGTCAAAGTCTGTCGTCGAACAGGAGACGCGACTACTTCCCACCCTCGCCGCGTCTTTCGGCCCGACAGTCGGCTTATTCGTCTTTGCTTGGACCTCCTCGCCACGCATCCATTGGATTGTGCCAACGATTGGCATCACGATCTACAGCGGGAGCGCATTCATCATTTTGCAATGCGTATTTGCATATATTCCGCTGTCTTATCCTCGATTCTCTGCGAGCCTCTTCGCTGCAAATGACTTTTTCAGGGGTACGTTTGCTTTTGCCAGTATTCTCTACGCGAGACCTCTGTTCGAAAATTTAGGAATTGCTCGTGGCTGCTCCTTTTTAGGGGGGCTCAGTACCATTGGTATTGTTGGGAGCTGGACGTAGAACTATCGGGGTGCTGCTCTAAGGGCTCGGAGCAAGTTCGCAGATTCATAACTTCAATTACTTCCCACAACATTCGCTTGTCGATAACCAGGCTTTTGTGATCCCGATTGTCTGTGACATCGTCGTGCAAGCAACTATTAGCGAGCTGATGAGAGATAGTAGAGAGATCCGTGTTACGGCCTGTAAGCCATGATCAACCCTGCATGTTTAGAACATACGAGATCGTAAGCAGCAACGACGCTGGGTGAGAGTAACAACAGTGTGATTGCTTCAATGGTGATGTGGCCGGGGACCAACGGATAAAATTTATTGATTTTACCGTGCTGCCCTGGGATAGGCGTGCAGACGTCGGGAGACATGACGGTCACGCCCGGCATCTATGTTCAACAGATTTTGGCACACGCGGAGAAATGTGTGGGGGAAACATGCGTCGGTGCAGACGGAGCGGTGCACGTACTTAGACATGGTGAAAGCGTGGGGCGAAGTGACGGGAAAGCGCGCCTCGTTTGTTAGCTGTTCCGAAGAAGACTACCTTGGCTTGTGGGGAGCGAATGGCGCTAGCTTCAGCTGAGATTCAACGCATCGGTGGAGGATTGGCTTGAAGGACTCGGGTAATTGCTTGCCACGGCCAATGAGCTCGGCATTGACGAGTTTAAGCTGGAGGATTTAACATGCTCTGGAGGTGATCAAGAATTAGCTGTAGATGAAACGTATGAGATCCTAGCAGATCGGGGTTTTTGCAATACAAATCTGAAGGATCGCGAGGTGCTAGCTCCTTATGGCAAACGCATCTACTGCGCCCTCCACCTGCACACCGGCTGAAGAGGTCAGCCTGGTCCAACGCAACCAAAATGGGCGTCTTACATCTGGGATCCCTGCGTGATTGGACAAGATTTCTGTAGAGTAGTATTTTCATAAGCGTGCCCCTGCATCACAAAGTCGCAGCACAATCAAGTTGGAGGCCAGGCTGACGCCTGGCGACATGGGATATGTGCGCTCTCTAAAGAGGGCGTCCCGGCAGTTATTGTGTCGAGAGATCCTCCTCCATATTTTCCCTTGATCTCAATCTTGCATCGTCGGCAATAATACAGGTATACCCTCACTCGATATTCGAATCTGTCGATGATGTCCACTGCCACATCTTGGTTTCCTGAGATTGAGAGGTCGTCGTCACCTGGGGCGGTGCTTACTTCAGATTGTTCATCCTCTTTAGAACCATCGCCTTCATTGGCGTGCTCCTCATTCTTCTCTGTAAATCTATCCTCGAATGAAAACCTTTCCTCGCGAAGGACGTCCTACGAGAATGCCTTCTTTGAGAGTCTTACAGCATACCACATCGACAGATCAACCGGCAACTGGGATGATCAGATCGACAGCAGACAAAGAACATCAAGCCCATCATCCCACATTCTGACATCGAAGCTCTGTGAACGTTGCTTGCTTTTCGAGGATTTATATCTACGCCCTCTAATGCCATCGCCAGGCGGCACCTCTCCTCCCCAATTCCAACTCCTCCACCATGCAACTTGGAAGGACCTGCGGGACTCGGCATTGAGCGGCTGTGAGCTCTGTAAAGTGCTCAGGAACGGATGCTTGCATTCACATCGACAGAGGCTGGGAGCTTCTGCATTCACAAAGACGGAACAGATCGAGACACTATTCGAGGACGTAAAAAACCTCGTCATCCGATCATCTGGCGAGACAGCTGCTAGCAATGACAATGCAGATTGTCTGGTGGGCTTCAATGGTCTCAACAAAAACCCACGGACCCAATGGCGGAATCATGTGTACAATTGGAGCCTGGTCACATATTGTGACCGATCGGGAGATCACCCCCACGTAGATGCAGATTTTATCCTTGGAAATAATGATGGTGAGCTCATTATAACTCCGGCAAAAGGGTTGACCAAATGGCATGGACCGAACAGCTTGAACTGACTCTTGTGTAGATGATGGGCCACATCTGACCCACGGCGGTTTCGATGGCAGATGCTGCTTACGGACACCAGACCTGAGCCTAGCTCAGAAATGGATCTCGGAGTGCCAGCATTTCGATAAAGAATGTGTTTTTAGACATGTTCCTAATCCATTTCTTCAGACAGAACTTCCTACTCGTCTTGTTAGAATTGAGAAAGGAGGCAACCGAGTGTGGTTGCAACCGACTGAAAGTGAGCAGCAGTACGAATACGCCACTCTCAGTCATGTTTGGGGAGGCACCAATACTCCATCCACAACCAAAGACAATCTTGATGACCGCATACACAACGGCATCAAGACTTCTGAGCTTCCTGCAACCTTCAGAGATGCCATCACTG